TTAACAATGTGGTTACTGCGATGAGTGTTCAGTTCACAATACACATGATTGTAATAAATGTACTAATTGTCAAGAAAAATGAGTACTGCTCTGGATGTTTTCTATAGCACAAACGAATTCATATGAATCTTTCGAATGGATCCTTTTTAAAAGATTTACCAATTTTGAACATCTTGCAAAAGGAGGCTTTGGATCAATTTATAAAGCAACCTGGTTGGACGGAACATTATTATTTTGGTATTGGGATCATGAAGAGAATAGATTTAAATGAGATGGAAAACCCGAAGTTGTATTGAAATCATTATACAATTAAAAGCAAATTACATTCGAGTTTATAAACGAGATAAAATGAACACCTTTAAGTGTAAGCTTATTGCTTTTTTGTTTTTCAATCTAATTAAATTTTTCAAATTAGATTCAGACTGCTCTAAAGTGCACTTATGGAATAACTAAAGACCCAACTATAAATGAATACTCGATAGTGATGGATTATGCAAAAGATGGAAATCTACACAAATACATGTACAGTGGCCTCCCAGAATATTGCGGACACTTTTTAAAATACAATAACGCAATAACCAATAAAAAAGCAAGATTTATGATTCTAAGCTAATAGAATCATTGAAACATATTGTACAATATATCAAAATTTCAAGTGATTTCGATAAATAGTTCAAAAAAATATATGAATATAAAAAAATTAAAATTTGTATCAAACTGAAAATTTACGTGAAAAAATTATTCTATTTTATAAAGATGCAATATCTTCATCCCCAGTAAACCAAATTAAATAATTTTATATCACCAGATTCACCAAGTCAAGATGCATTTAATGATATCAAAATCATATAATTTAGATCACTAGATGCAGCAATATAATGTCTCAAAAATTCCATACAAAAATCAGGGTAAAAAATATTTTAAAGAAAATTATTTTTGCAAATATCTTTGCACTAGATTTACTTAAACAAGGTGAACCTGATGATATCAAAATCATCTAATTTAATTAATTGGATGTGGAGATATTTACAAAAACTATTTTCTTCAAAAAATTTTATTCTGATTTTGTATATTATCTTTGAGATATGATATCTCCATATACAGTAATCCAAATTGAATGATTTTGATATCATTAGATGCACCTTAACTTGATAAAATTGCTAATAAATTTTATTTAATTTGATTTATTGGATGTGAAGTTATTTGTATCTTTGTAAAATAATATTTTTCACATAGGTTTTGTTTGATATAAATTGTTTGAACTAATTATTGATATCACTTGAAATTTTGATAGAATTTATAATATGTTTCAATGATTCTGTTATAAATCTTGCTATTTTATTAGTTTGCATTATTGTATGTTAAAAAGTGTTCACAATATTCCAGGAGGCCATTGTATATGAATTCCAACTAGGGTGTCCAGTTTACTGCATTTGCAGAAATCTACTGCAAATGATGCAAATTCTGCTGCAATTTGCAGAATTTGCAGAACCCATATGGTTTATAATGTGATTTGTGTACATAATGATAATAATGATGTGGATTTTATAACTTGTATTATAAAAATGATTTATGCTAAACAATGTACGTACGTACATGTAAAAGTAATAAATTTGATCATCATGATGATCTTACACGTTTTTCAGTTTGCAGAATCTGCAGAATCAATTGCAGTAAATTGGACACTCTAATTCCAACCATCAAAAATTGAATTTGGAACAAAAATTATAATATTTGATTGATATTAATCGAGGGTTGTGTATAATTCACGAAAAGGAATTTGTGCATCACGACTTTCACCCCGGAAACATATTATTCTATGGAGCTCATATTGCTGATTTTGGACTTACCGGCCAGCAGATATAGAAAAAACCGATCAAAAAATTTGCGGAGTACTTCCTTATATGAGTCCGGAGGTACTAAATGGAAAAATACACTAAATATGCAGATATTTATAGTTTCTGGATGATTACGTACGAGATTGCCACAGGTGAACGACCATTCGGTGAGCAAAGTCATAGCAATGATCTCGTATTAGACATCTATAATGGAGTACAACATACGATATCAAATAATGTTCCTAAATTATTCAAGTTTATTATTGAAAAATGTTGGGGCCCTATTCCAGAAACAGACCAACTGCTAAGGAACTTGATGAATTTTTCGCTCTATCAATATGGATATGGCAGAGAACTGAATAATTTACATTTTCAGTATAAACTTGATAAGGAGATAAAATCTAAAAGAGCATTCATGCAAATACGAACGAAAAACAAATCCACTCAAACGCAGTTTACACCAGTCGAATGTTTACTTCAAAATTAATTTCAATTCAAACAGACACAAGTACTTTCTATAAATCATATCGACATTATCGTTTCACATTTATATCGAATTTTTAAGGTTGACAAGTGTCTGTTTGTTTGTTCCAAGCGATCTCGATTTTAGTATGCCACATAGAATCAAAGAGAATGAAGAGATATCGAGTGACTTGCAAGAAAACTACAGACTCCAACGAGATAGATGAAGAAGTATTGAGTGTCTTGCAACAAAATCTACAAATCTATAACGAATCACCTCCAACAAAATATGGAAAGATCAAAAGAAAAATACTGCGCTTTGTTTGAAGAAAATGATAACTATTTTACTTTATACTTTAAAATTTTTATTATCCTTGATTTAATTTAAGAGTCTAAAACAAGCCTTTTGTCTGTCCATGCAAGACGAGTCTTTCAGTTTTTTCTTGCCAATTCAGACAAAAAACCTTTATCATGAATATACCATTGTATAGTGCGTGTAGAAACTTCGGTGGACGTAGATTGCAAAAATAAATCATCTAAAGTAACTTTTTATCTTTTTTGATAATGCGAAATAAATGTTGTATATCACGTTTTTAACTGTTGATTTCGCGAATCCAAGTTTTCTACAATAGTAGAGATAGATGATGTATTATACCACCAAGCACCAATGATCTGACTTCGTTCACTTTTAGACAGTTCTTTTCATTTTTGCTTCATTGTGAAGCAATTACCAAAACAAATGACATACTTATAAAATTGAGTTACAGATATACTGACTATATAAATCTCTAAAAGGATAATTTAACAATTACGCGAAATGAACAATTTAATATTTCTCTTAAATTGCGGAACGTCGCCAAATTTGATCGATGACTGATGATTTTGTCAGGGGAGTGTATATGTCCGAAAAGAGTTTATGTATTTTTGATATTTGATATTGATCCTGGTTGTACCAAAAAAATTACTGCTGCAAATGTAATACGTACTTTAAAATTTGGCTAGTGCCGCGTAAGGATAGAATCGATTAATTTTGTAGAATCGATCGATTAATATTTGAGAATGATTGCCAATATAGAGTTTAATAACTCTGATAGTGATACTAATGCCAAAGGAATTGATATTGTTCCAAATTTGAATGATATTTATGAAACAACAGAAAATACATGTAATGGATACCAAGTCACAATACTTCAATTGCATCTATACTATTTTTTACCACCAAGTATCTCTACTAATCAAAGGACAATCTCAATTAATCAAAGTACAGTCAAAATCCTTTACAACGACGTACGTCAATTCGGAATTGACGTGAATTCCGAAACGACGTATAACATATACATCGGATTCGGCTTATACCGTATTGATATTCTGATTTTTACGATTTTTAACTATTTAAAAATCCCTAAATACCGAAGTTTATAATATAAGCACTTTATATCAGCTCAAAAGTGCCAATCCAATGCGGCCGTTGTAAAGGACTTTGACTGTACAATTTTAACTATTCCAACAAAGAGGAAAATCAACATGCAATGAAAAACAAAACAAAAGACCAGTTGTGTCGTTGTTGCTGTCGTCATCATCGTAATTTGTGCTCGAGAACCGATTTTAAGTTGAGAATTGATTCCTATCTATATACCAATTTTTTCACAACTCGCACGTAAATATTTAACAACTCCTACCATGTCAGTTCCATCTGAATGTCTATTTTCAGATGAGGGAACTTAATTACACATGAACGAAATCAATTTAAATAGCCATTTGGTAGTTTATTAGAAGAATTTTTCCTAATGCTAATAAATAAAACGTGATTAATAATAAATTCTTGAACTAGGTATTTCGATTTTTAGCGTTAGCAATAAAATAGTAATCCATGTATTTAGGATCTACTTGAGAATCGATTCTCAAATTGAAAATCGATTAATCGAAATTATTAATCGATTCCTATCCCTAGTGCCGCGAACATTAATTAGTGATTAATACGCGTAGCAGCAAAATACCTGGTGGGACAATAAAAAGCAGCATTTCGCTTTATTAATTAATAAATCAAAAGTACCTTTATTTGTTATTATTTTAAAAGAGAAAGATCGCAGATTACATTAAAAGCAATAAAGATGAATAAGCTACAACTAATAATTTAAAATTCGAGAATAATAAGATTTTCAACAATGCTTCAGCCCGAACATCCTTTCTACTATCATCAGCCCAAACCGAACTTCATTTCCACTATCATCAGGTTTAATAAACTTTGCGCCAGCATATCAATTAGCGCCAGTATCAATTTCGACAGAATGTGAAGGTAATATAAATTCCGTTTTTGTATACTTTGCCCACCCATACAGTGCTCCCATTCTCGCCGCAAACGACATAAATGTCACAACTACCCATCATTGGGAGCAAAAAGAAGTGCGCCAAGAACCGAGTAATCATCAGCATAAAACGAATTAAGAAGTTGAATGAGGTTTATGCCGTTGTATGTGTTTCCGAAGTAAATGTGCCAAAAATGTATATAGAGAGAAGACCATTGATGCTGCAACACATCAAGTCTGCTATAAGATCGCCAATCAGAAAAACTTATAAAACATCTACATGGAGAAGTGCGAGGACAACTATTTAATATAAAAAATTTCGAATTAGTTCTTTTCATGACCTTGAGTCATTGAGTTTCCCATGATACAATACCGATTGGAAAATTTAAGACAGTCAAAATTCGAATATAATTAATGGCAGTTTGTTCGCAAATAAATCGTTCGACATTGTAGACACCATTGCACTTTGCAAAGCGTCATATGCTGAATAACTCAATGCCATAGCAAGCTCAATCGCAATCCCAGCAACACAATCTGGTAAAATAATGCACCTGCGCATAGCAAGTCATCATTACAACAAATATTTGCCAAAACCGTGATAATACCAGTGAATCCGATCAAAAAGAGAACAATAAACAATAGAATTCCACCGTAAACAGTTGATCCGGAGTTCGCGATCATTTTGGAACTGAATACCCTTTAATAATCATTCATGCATTTAGTCGGATCGTACTAAATCCGATTGCGCCGATAGTATCGTTATACTGTTGCGTCTATACGAATAATTAATGAAATCAAGTGGTCTTTCGTAACAGGGATGAGAGCTAAACTAAATTATCTATGATTAGAGGGTTTCTCTAGTAATGGTGTGCTCAGATCTGGTTTCAACAAAATTGTAATGGTGGCAGGCTAAGGTGCTAATTTGTGACAACTTACCATGCTGAAATTGCATTAGTTTTCTTAACATAATTCTTGTATCATGAAGAAATGCTTTAGTCATTTAAAACAATATTTTATTTATTATTTACTTATCCTGTTAGTCTTTTTTAAAAAATTATTATTTATCTTGTATTAGTTATTAAATAATTTTTTTCTGCATATTTAATAAATGGTTCTTGAATTTTTGTGCTCAATAATATCTCTAATAAAATTACACACGATGCAAAACTTTGATTTTTCCATTTCGTGATTCTTTGCAATATGTATCGAAATTTACATAAAAAAAGAAATCTGATCTAAGGCTTATGAGATTCTTAGAAATAATCAAATTCACTTTGCTTCAATCTAATGATAGATAACTTTCCAAATTCTTAGCATTCTTAGCTTTTTACCTCATAAACTAAAATATGATGTGCAGTAATATCTCTTCTTGCAACCCATATTATTCAGAAAAACTTGTCAGCTTTGTCTATCGATATGCGAAAAAGTCTCAAGACTATTGAAATCAGAAGAAGTGAGCGATATTCACTCAATGATATTAATTTATGAGATTGAAAATTATAAGAGGAAGAGACACCACCAGTATAAATACACGTCACTTAAAAATTAATGATTGTTTGTGGTTGATTCTTACAGGTCCCACAGAAAGAATGGTATTTAGTTCCTTCAAAGAAAAATACAGGTTTAAAGAACAACTACACTAAATAATTCATTTCTAGAATGCTTTGAGTATGGATCATACTCTTAAAAAATCAATGCATAATACATTATCCTTCCATGTCAACGCAGTCTTAAATCTCATGTGACATGTTTGAAAAAATTGCAACTAATGTTATTTCAATTTGCTCTTCAAGTTTTTTATTTTAAAATAATATATAGTTTTAATACAATTCTTTAATCAGACATTTCTTAATGGGCGAAGACTCGTTAATTTGGGACAAGATAATTTGAAATTGTTATATAAAGAAATTTTGGTTTGAATTTCTGTTAGACTGTGAGCACGTAAGTACCTAGAAAGGATTCTTCCGCTTCACAAATCGGTCGTAATGTTCTAATGTTGGGACTTAGACGAAATGCTTGCCCAGAAAAGTTTTTTGCAATAAATGAAATCAAATTGTAAGTCTTTAAATCTTCGTTTTTTTCGAGTAGGAAATTAATCCAACTAAATGAAATTACTACGATAAATTCATTGAAAAACAGGATTTGTGGACCTAATAGTGCTGAGGGATTGTTATTCGAAAGATGTAGTTGAACAAAAATTAAAGTTCGTTATTAACATCCAATTCACAAGTTTATAACCTAGAATTGTTGTAGATCTTAGCTTCCATCAATGTCTTTGAAAAACAACAATCAGTTTTTGTCCTTTTTATGATCCTTATGAGGAAAGTCGCGGGAAATGCATCAAAAATATTATGAATAACTTGAGGATTAGTGAGATTCGTAAAATGTGCAATATTTCCGTATATTTTTGGGAACTGGTTCCAGCAAGTTCATGAGTAGTTCTTAGAATTCCTTAGTGGTTCCAGAAAATTCTATAAATTTGTTATATAGGGAAGTATCTCTTTTCAAACTTGATAACGCCTGTAAATCAAAATATTCAATTATTTTTCTATTTTAATTATAAAGTATAGTATAGATGTAGTTTTCATTGGTTACCGGGGAATAAACAACACCACTTAACCGACATGGTTTGTATTCCACAAAATGGTGTGGTGTTATTTTTGGGCAGTCTCTTCGCGGATCGAATGGTTGTCTCATCATTATGTTAAAAGAAAAGCTCATTACATCTACAACATTTGTGGTGACTTACTCATATTACGCATAACATTATGTCTACAACACGCATTTAATATAATAAAAAAAGCCTTTTATCCTTTGCACACATACAATGAAAGTTATAAAAAGCTTCTTTTATGTGTTCTGTCTCATAATATCAACATTGAAATCGATTACACACAAACACACAAACACACAATAATCTTTTAAACACGGAAGCCTATGCTCGATAATATAAATTATACCTCTTTAAAATCCATTAGTATTTTACAGGGATGGAATTCAGAAAAACTGAACTAGTTAGATTTTTAAAATGTCTTGTATAAAAAGTTAAAACCATTTAATATTAGGTATGTTTTATATGTATATGTTTGGCACAAAATTCAAATTCCATGTGATATTCTTACGTATTGTTGCGCGTGTTCGTAATTAGGCGTAGTTAACGATTTTACCTACAACAATTGAGGGGGAGAGTATATAGACTGATTTGCACTCGTTCGTTATCTAATTCCTGTGCTGATATCTACGGATATTGTCGGGTTTGGTAATATTAGAGGGGCTTTACGAGGATTTGTGTTTCGATAAAATAATTTGGGAGAGTTGGGTTTCTTTAATTTTAAGTGAAGTTTACTTCTATTAACAATATTTAATAATAATAATTGCTTTTCTAGACAAAAGGCTTAACTATTCTACACAATGCGTTTTATTATCAATCAACATGCCGTTTAATCAATAACAATGCCTTTTCTGGATCAAAGGATCTAACCATTAATTATTTCAATCATTTAACAAAGCTATACTATGGGGTGAAAGGATTGTACACAATTATTTCATTTTACAAGAGTTATGTTACTTGAAGAAGAATTTTACTATGTATACTATTGAGGAGAGAGAAAAAGAAAATAAAGTAAAATTAATCAAAAGCGAAATCGTAATTATAATCAAGCGTGGGAGTGAAAGTGAAGTGAAATAATGAGAAACAGAAAACGAATTCGTGAATAAAAGTGAAAAATTGATGGCGAAGTTGAAAGTGAAAAACGTGAAGACAGTGATCTAAAGATCAGTTAACAATGAACAACAGGTAATAACAAAAGCGAAAAATGGATGAATAAATAAAAAAAGATAAAATTAGTAACGAAAAATGAGCTGATAATCAAATATGAAAGCAAAAAACATAAACACAAAAAAAAAAGGCAGATGAAAGCAAAAAATGGGGAAACAATCCAAAGCGAAAAACGTGTAGATGAAAAGTGAATTTCATAAACAAATTACTTTTTTTGGGAAGAGAAAACAGGAGTTGATTTAAAATAGGAAGGATGGAACATTACACTAAGGAGCTCGGATAATCGAAATGACTTGTTGGGATCAGGACGAATGGGCTCCTTCAGAAATCACAAGATCAACAAAATTTGTTGCACTTCGGTAATAATAATACGTACGTATTCTGATTTGATTGTTATAATTTGGACCAACATTACGAGTCAGAATTATTTTTTTGCAAAAGTTACGTTTTTGATAGATCTGCAAGTACCCTTAATTTATGATGCTTAAGCAGTAAAATCACGTTTTTATAATACCCAGAATTTTTATCCGGTCAACACAATTTTTAAGGGGTAAACCAATCAAATCTCAAGATAGAAAAATTAAAAAAAAGTTTATTTTTGAAAAATAGCTTGTATCTCGAAATTATGCCTATGAAACTGCTTTCTAGATTCTAACGAAAAATATTCCTTGCGAAATTTTGCTACAAACTCTTATGTACAATATAATCAAAATGCTATTATTATTGTTAGAATTAAGATTAGAGTCTGAGTAAAAGTTATATTGAATATGAGAAATTTTGCAATAAACATTTTTTATTAGAATATAAAAAGCAGGTATAATTTCGAAATACAGTCTATCTCCTCTAATATCAACATCATGAGACCAGCCTATTTATTTGATTGAGTTAGAGTTAGGATAGAGTGGAGTGAAATTTACATTATATATAATATTATTATCAATACATCACATGCATGTATGTATTATAGTTTTTTTTAATAAAGAGTAGCAAAAATAATTATATTTTTAAGACTTTCATAAAACCTCTTTACTTTGCGTTCTCTACATAAATCTTTTTTTGCTAGAAGTCTTCACTCTTTTTGATCAAAAAATCTGTTGATTTTTTTTGTCATTTTGTCTCAGGCATATTTAATTAATATGTTATAAGAGCCTTTGTAATCTTGACAAGTCTTGCTCCTCAATGAATTTCGCTGGATCTTGTTATTCTACATGCTATAAAAGTAATTTACACTGCTTCAAGATCATGCAATAGAAAATTTTCTCAATTTAAATATCACTATCTTTGTCATTAGATTCTGGAAATCTCTTCTATAATTGCTTTTTCATCAATAATAACTTCTATTTCAGTATTTTCATCGATATGAATATAATCATAGGCCGATATTACTTGTATACTATTGATAAAAATATTAGAAATAAATAGTTCAATGTCAATTTCTGGTCTTGTGCATTCATATTGTTATATATTGTTGTATATTATTACAAGTTTGTTTACTAATCATTAAATTAGCTTACAAACTTGAATCTGAATTGGGAGAGAGAATTAAACAATAAACAAAACAATACAAACACCTTGTACGTTATTGATGAGCAATGATGCGCGGAATCCTTTATATACTTTAATAAATGTTCGATTAGTATCTCGAGAGTTATGATAAGTTGCTAGATTAGCAAAATAACTTACCGGTATAAAGAGTAGTGGTAACTACTAACACAATAATTGGTGCCCAACCTATCGACGTAGATAAAAAATTCCAATAGAAGACAACTCAATAACCATCTAGCAAAACTTAAGGTAAAAGTTAGTAAAAGGAGATAATTTTGGCGAATGGGATATTGTGGTGTTTTTAATAATATATACAAGTCTTAAGCACATGTTGACAATATTGTTACCATATTTTATC